GTTTTTTTGTGCTGGCCCCTTCCCGGGTACCGTGTCTGCTGAGCTACCATGTACGGAGCCCCGTGGGGCCTTTTTTTTTGCTTTTTCCACCGCGTGCAACCCGGGTGCTCGGACCTGCGGGAGTGCTTGAAGTATCGCGGGACTCTCTCTCTCCCGCCGCGTCCTTATCGTGTCTGCTGTCCTAAATACAAGTGATACAATCATCTTCAACACACGTACATGGGTATACTAACACTCTAGAGAGAGTGTATCCCTCGAGGGAACCCGTGCTGGAGATGAGTGGCGCCGATGTTGCAGCAGAGGCTGCCGACGTCACCACTGGTACGCAGAGTTGACAACCTGGAGGGCAAAGTTTCAGGCCTGACGGACGAGGTACAGCAGCTGCCAGGGCCTCTCCGAGCCGTCCTCGGAAAGTTTGAGGATGAGAGGGAGTCCGGCGGCGCTGGGGTGGGCGCTGTCGTCACGGGCACCCCGTCTGCCCGCGGTCTGCTGAAAGAGGGGCCGCACAACGACGGAATCACGCCGCCCGCACAGCACGAGGGAAGAAGCACCAGACCGGGAGCCAGGCTGGTAGTGCCAAGGATCCCTGCTGGAGCGGACCCGGGCATAGGACCGGGCAGCGGGGAGGTCATGGGGTCGTCATCCCAAGAGCAGCCTGCTGCGGTGGGCGCTTGCATAGACTACACGGCTGCAGAAAAGATCATCAGCAGCAGTAGGCCGGTTGCGGAAGGCGAACCGGTGTGGGCTCAGGTCTCTGCTAACGGTGGGTTTGGTAGATTCCAGAACACCGAATGCCTCTACAAGATAGGCAGCGATGGCAGAGATGCAGCCGCCGCTCGAGGCACTGGCCGAAGAGTCAGAGCAACGTACTCATCACGTCGAGAAGGGCTGTGCGGCGCTAGAGGGGGTGCCGCAGACTGCTCACCAAGTGCGCCTGTTGACCGCGGGAAAGTGCTTGCGTCTAGAGAGCTGGGGCATCATGCATCCCCGCTACGCCGTCGGTGTGCCATCAAAACAACCAGCGCAGGCCACTGCGCGCGCACCATCCACACACAGCAGCAGCAGCAGCAGCAGATGGTGAAGATGGCACCATTGCAGCAGCGTGGAAGGGTCAAGACACAGAAAGTCGGCCGCAAGGCCATGTGCCCATAGCCGCGACGGAAGGGGCGTGGATGTACTCATAGTACTCATAGTCGTGCATGCCGTAGTCGTTANGATGGCAGAGATGCAGCCGCCGCTCGAGGCACTGGCCGAAGAGTCAGAGCAACGTACTCATCACGTCGA